GAAGCCCAACACTCTGTGTCACACAGTGGCCAAAACCCAGGGGCCATCAGGAGGTCCACCAGCGGGGCCAGAACTCCAGAATCCCCACACACACACACACTTGCCCCCCAAGCACCAAGAATGCAGAGCATCACTGCCCCAGGCCCAGACAGAGTGTTCCATCTATACCTTGTGGCTAATAGCCACTGATGGACCTCTGCTCCATCCATTTCTCCAATCCCCTCTTGAAGTTGTCCTATGCTTGTAGTACAGTGGTCCTGGCTCCACCACTAAATCCACAGCACTACGTGATATGGTACCTATTTATCTACTTGCAATTTCTTGCTTTCGAACTGCTAGGTTGGCAGGAGCTGGAACTAGAGACAGGAGCTCACTCCGTCATACGGCACCCGGGTCTTAAAAGCTACTTCCTATGTAATTCCCCTTCATCGCAAGATGTTCAAGAGAAACCGTCCAGCTTTCAAAATAAGCCAAACGGATGCTTTAAGCCCAACACTCTGTGTCACACAGTGGCCAAAACCCAGGGGCCATCAGGAGGTCCACCAGCGGGGCCAGAACTCCAGAATCCCCACACACACACACACTTGCCCCCCAAGCACCAAGAATGCAGAGCATCACTGCCCCAGGCCCAGACAGAGTGTTCCATCTATACCTTGTGGCTAATAGCCACTGATGGACCTCTGCTCCATCCATTTCTCCAATCCCCTCTTGAAGTTGTCCTATGCTTGTAGTACAGTGGTCCTGGCTCCACCACTAAATCCACAGCACTACGTGATATCCATCGGACAAAGAGTTTGCCCGCTGGCTCTCTTACTTTTCCAGCCCGCCCCCACTGCTTTACCAGGCTGGGATATGAAATGATCCTTTAGCAGGCTTTGCAAGGTTATCGTTTAAAAACCCCCCCCCCCCCCCCCCCCCCCCCAAAAAAACCCCTCATGCCATTGTAAGGTACGCTGAGTTTTTGTTGACGTGAGATCGTTCCTTGGGCGAATCTGAAGAATCATACGAAGAAACTAAAATATTAAGAACCAGAGATCCTGCTGCTTCCCTAAAAACAAAAACAATAATTCACGAGTACCGGAGTTTTCTTTCCATTCCCCCCACCCCAGCTGGGAGCTGTGATGGCTCAAGTGGTTAAGACACTGAACTGCAGACGGGAAGGTCAGTAGTTTGGCAGTTCGAGACCCGAGTGCCACATGACGGAGTGAGCTCCCGTCTCTGGCCCCAGCTCCTGCCAACCTAGCAGTTCGAAAGCAAGAAATTGCAAGTAGATAAATAAGTACCACTTTGGTGGGAAGGTAACAGCGTTCCGTGCACCTCGGTTTTTTTTTCACATGACCACAGAAACGTCTTTGGACAGCGCTGGCTCTTTGGCTTGGAAACAGAGATGAGCACTGCATCCCTAGAGTTGGATTCGACTGGCTTTTCAGCAAGGGAAACCTTTACCTTTACTCCCCAGCTACTTTAACAGAGAAACACCCAGCAGAGGGGCCCATTTCTGCATTCTGAGAAGGATTTTCTTTCCCGTTATCTCTAAAATGGCCTGGAGGGCTTCGTACCATTAGACCACCATGCAGATGAAACAAACAAAGGCTGACTGTCCCCTCGTTTCTCTGGGAAAGAAAAGATCCCCTGCTCATCTCTGTCTTTAGCCAAAATGGAAGAGAAACCCAGGAACCCAAAAAGCTCAGGCGAGTGTCGCAAAGACCCCACAGGAAATACCCTGCACACTACATGAACAGCCTTCCTCGAAGCCGTCGAATCTCCAAGTCCCCCATTTCAGCATACCACCCCACCCTCCTTTAGTTAGAAGAGAACCAACGGATTGAAATCAAATCAAAAGAGTTTTCAGCTAAACATTACGAACAGGCTTCCTCGGGAGGTGGTGGGCTCTCCTTCTTGGGAGGTTTTCAGAGGCTAGATGACCATCTGACAGCCGTGCGGATTCTGTGAATTTAGGCAGACTGTGAGAGGGAGGGCAGGAAGGGTTGCATCAGTGCTCAGTTCCTGTGGCCCTGTCTTATATGACCAGGGTAATGCCGATCACCAGTCTGGGGTCAGGAAGGAATTTTCCTCCAGGGCAGATTGGCCCAGGGGTCCTGGAGGTTTCTTGTCTTCCTCTGGGCATTGAGCAGGGGTTATTGGGAAATTGGGGAGGGGGGCCTATGAATTTCCTGCATTGTGCCAGAGGTTAGACAAAATGACCCTTGTTTGCGCAAGGATTTCAACATCTGTTTTATCTAAAGGCAGCATTTTCCAATTTGGGAGCCAGAGACATTCTACTTTAAAACAAAAGAAAAATCACACAAACATTGCAAAAAAAAAAAAGTTTCGTTGCTGATTATTTTCCATGCAGTAAAAAAATAACACACAAACAGATTCAGGCTTACAAAAATACAGAGTTTACGATGCATATTCCACAACGGAGAGACGCCTGCCATTCCGGGGGTGGGTGGGTAGGAATGGTGATTAGCAGTAAGAAGTTTGGGCATAATGAAGCTGAAGTTAAGCACTCTTAAGGCCTGCTGAGTTCCAGAAGTTTGGGCACGATGAAGCTGAAGTTAAGCACTCTTAAGGCCTGTTGAGTTCCAGGAGAAAGTTAAGCCAGTTCTTTCCACCCTTCCAATCTGAACGGAAGAGAAAGCGCTCAACGGGAGCTGTATCCTGCCTTTCAGTTAAAAAGAAGAAAAAAGCGCAGGATGGCAGTTGCATTCCATAGTCCTAGGGATCCCTGAAACGTTATCTATGCTCCCTGCTGTCCGAAATTATGCTCTACCATGGCAGTTCACTGGAGGGCCTGAAGGGGGAGTCCAAACCCAAAGTGGCGCCTACAATCCACTGCAAGGGCCACGGAAGTAAACTGCTTGAATGAGCCGATTCCCCCGATCCACAAGGTCAAATTCCGCTCAACGTGAAACCCGCGCCCCCCCCCCCCAGCACATCTTCAGCAAAAGAACTGGCAAACTCAATTCTGATACAGTCCGCAACGAGACGAGTCTAATTCTTTGTAAGACATTGAACGCAAAAAAAGATTAGCTGTACTATTCATTGTGTGTATATTCTTAAGAGCCCCACAAAAGAGGGCACGCGTTCTAACGTCACACCAAACTCTGAAATACATCGAATAGCTTTGGACTCCCCCCTCCTCCAAAAGATCGGTTTTGGCTGATTTAAGCTAAGATGCCATTTTAAAAAAAAGATGGAAAAATAACCACGTTTAGGAGCAAGCGGCAAGGGCCAAGTACAAAATGTCTCAAGAAACCGGGGCTTCCACGCCTCTAGCAAACCAAGCAACTTCTGACAGGTTCGAGAGACTAATGCTATGTGAAACAATGCTAGCAAAACGGTAAGTAAGCACTTTTTCCTTGCTCGGCTGTCTATAAATAGTGATATATTACAAAAGTCTAAAAAAAGAAGAAAAACCCGACGCGAGAATCCAGTCTCGACCTTCCCAAACGGGTTTCCGGTCTGATGCTACTGAACGTACAAATGCACTGATTCTGTACAACTCCGTCAAGGAAAGGGTTTTCAATATGGTACAAATCCTTTTTAACAAAAAAAATCTCCAGTGTTCTCCTTTCAGAAATTTAGTGCCTGAAAACGGAAACTTTTTACAGATGGCTCAAACAAGAGGAAACCCCTTAGTTCTGTACAGCAGAGGCTGAAGACCCTCACCCAGCTTTCACAGGTTTCCAAAATCCGTACACACATATGGCTCCAAAATTTTCTCTTCAAAACAAAGCCCACACCGTACGCTTCAGTTCGTCTACATGCACAACAAATCCCTGAACAAAAAGTATTCAATAGTTCTTGAAGGCATCCGTGTAAGTCCCCCCACCACCACCCGCCGACCCCATCCCCAAACCCACCCTCCCTAGGAAGGGGTCATTTGGCATCGTGGGACACTTTTTTTTTTTGCATCAATCAACATTTGGAATGTAAACAATCCTGCAAATGCTAACCAAGACAGTAGTCCTTATGACAGAAATGGCTCCGGGGAAGGAATCATCAGCAGTTGCCATTCCCATCAGTCCCGAGTCTTCAAATCCCAAAACGGAAGGCTTGAAGATAAGAAGTCTTCCTTCAGGAGATCAGAGGCGTTAAAAGAAAATCACGGGGGTGGCTGAGAAGAGGCGGCGGCAGTTTTTTATTCTGCCTTTCCGCTAAGCAGGATGGCATCCGACTATGTATCTCAAAACCTAATACTATGGCTTCAAAGCTCGTTTCAGGTCTTTTCTATGTTCTCCGGTTTCTTCTCTCCCTGGTGTCAAAAGGTCAGCAAACACGGATTTGGTCTTTACAGAAGATCTCTGCATCTTTAGAAATGGTAGCCTGCCTTGACCACTTCGATGTCCGAAATCAGCGTCCTGGCCAGGAAAATCCCAAAGATCTAACAAAAACAAAGAAACAGTGCCTTTAAAACGCCTTCCTACCTTGCATCTGTCCCCTGAAAATGATGAAAAGGGGCGATGAGATTCTGCACCCTTTGCTTTGCCTATCTCAAGCTCTTACGTCTAGCCTGGAAAAGACCGCACACGTAGCTTGCCGTAGGCCTGGCGCAGAGGTCATTTCGGGGGGGAACGCAGGGGATCGCAGTTCCCCCGGGTGAGGTACGGGGGGCGGGGCACATGACGAAGCCCCGCCCCCTGCTTCCGGCCGCCCCGGTTCCGGCCCTCATTCAGCCAGGAGGAGGCAGGAGAAGAGGGAGGGTAAGTTGCTTCCTCCCTGCCTCTCCCCACCCCTGCCTGCCTGGGGCCAGGGAGGGCCGGAAGCGGGGCTTCCTTGCACTCCCACCGGCCGAGACCGTTGGGAGCGGTGTGTGTGGCCTTATGACACACTTCCGGTGATGTCAGGGGGTGTGGCCTTATGACACACTTCCAGTGATGTCAGGGGGTGTGGCATATGCTAATGAGTTATGCTAACAAGTTCCCCTAGCTCTTTTTCTACGAAACAACCCCTGGCCTGGCGTATCACAGAGGCAAAATGCACCAACTATTTAGACGTTCCATTAAAACAAAAAGATCGTTCCAGGGAGCTAGGCGATCTAGGAGTGTCAAGGTATTGCAGCCACATGTGTTATTATTTGCAATCTTACACACACACACACACGATGCTGGAGAACTACACATAATATAATGGGTAAATTTTAAGCATTAAAAATTAAATACAAACCAATCACTATCATAAAACTGTATGAAAAACAATTATATGTCTCTGTCCTCTTTTCTCAAAAAAAACCCCCAACAACCAAGAAAAGGTTTCCAGCTAGCCTCAAAAATCACCTGTTCCATCCCGCCAAGTTTCTACAAGATCATTTCACTTGCGGTGCAATCCTGAATAGAGGTACACCCCACTGAAGTCATTAAGGGGAGGTCAGCACTAACCTAAGCCCATTGGGGCGGCGTCACATCATTCTAACCTAAGCCCATTGGGGAGGGGCTGTGGCACAGTGGTAGAGAATTTGCTTGGCGTGCAGAAGGTCCCAGGTTCAATCCCCGGCATCTCCAGTTGAAAGGACCAGGCAGCAGGTGATGGGAAAGACCTACGCCTGAGACCCCGGAGAGCTGTAAAGAGGGGGCCATGGCTCCGTGGAAGAGCATCTGCTCGGCATGCAGAAGGTCCCAGGTGCAATCCCTGGCATCTCTAGTTAAAAGGACCAGGCAGCAGGTGACATGAAAGACCTCAGCCTATGACCCTGAAGAGCCGCCACCAGTCTGAGTAGACAATACCGACCTTAAAGATTTGTTATTTTTAATAGGACAAACAAAATACAAACACACACACACATATAGGAGGGTAACTTATTCTACATTATTGTTTTATCCGTTTAAATACCTCATACATATCTACCGTAGTTATCTATAATTTTTCTGTCTTATATCAAGCTATAATCTTTGCAAATCTATAGGTTTACAATTCATACTGTCTTCTGTTTTAAGCATTGTCTGAGCATTTTACCATAATCTTTAGTTAACTATATTTGAGTATATAATTCATAATTTCTCCTAGTTTAAAGTTTTTCCTCAATATTTTATTTATTTATTTATTCCTTCGATTCATATACCGCTCACCCCCTAAGGGCTCTGAGCGGTTTACATTATACATTATTTTAAGGGCTCAACGCAATTACGCAGACTCAGACATTCCCTAGCCGATCATAATCAGCCGTGCAGTCACAGGAATTCCCTAACCAGTCTTATTTATAAAATTCGATCCTCTTCTTCTTTTTGATTTCTCCTCTTCAGTCAGTCTTAATTCTGTGTCTTTCCCCCTTACTGATCTTGATGGACACCAAACATCTAATTCAGTATAAGGCAGCTTCACGTGTTCATGCGGCTTCAATGGGTTTAGAAGAAGGTGTAACTGTTTAGAATTGCACCGTTTGAAGTCTTCTTCCGCACTTTACTTGCCATGGAACTTAACTTGGTGGCTTTGTGCCAGTGCCGCCCTAACCCACCTCACAGGAGTGTTGCAAGGATAAGATGGAGGAGGCCCCCGGTCACACTGGGGGGGAAGGTGCGGCTGAAGTGCGGCTTTTTTGAGCCGCATCAAAAGAGAAGCGCGGTGGCGGGATCAGACAGACCCCCCGAGCAGTTGCTCCCCGGCATGATCAGATGCTGGGGGGGGGGAGCCACAGATC